TCAAAGCAATGAAAGTACGAAATGTTTTTTATTTACACTCATTTTATCTATAATTAAATTATTATTTTGAATGTTTTGATTCAATACAAGTAATAATTTGTAAATATGTTATGAAATGCAAAGTGGTCGTTGTGTTGATTATGGAGTAATTCTTAGAGTAACTGATTATATATTTCTATTTATTTCCCTCTTTTTGTATTTTCAACTGACAGTCAATTAGTGTTTGAATAATGAGTTGTGAATTGGATTACATAAGTAAATGAAGAGTGAAACCATTTATTGATTACTCGCTTCAATACCTATCAATTAGTGTCAATCGAGTGTCAAATCCTGCACTCGCTTTGCATTAAATTTTTCGACAAATTCAGACAATTTAGTCCTTAGTCTTGACTTTGTTTCATACGAATTAAAATGTATTTAATTGTAAATTAATTGTTTAATTGTTATATAAAATGTAGAAAATGTTAATTTGTTTTAATGTAAAAAAACTTATTTCATTTGGAATAAATATTGAAAATTAAATTGACTTGTTATTGTTAAATACTGTATATTACTGTACTGTATATCAAACATTGGCAATCATCAGGCAATCTCTGTTTTTATCAGACTATATGAGTCTCTGGCGATCATTATGTAAGATTAGAAAAACTAGTTTGACTAACAACAGGAACAGTTTAAAGTTTTTTGAGTTTTATTATGGGATTTAATTTATAGGATGAATTGCAAACATCAGTCAATATCCAAGTGTTTAATCATTTGATGAGTTCAGGGAATAAAAGTTTTGAACAATTTGTTTGGATGTGAATGTGTTGTTTAAGTTGTTTAGTGTATGTAATTGAATGAACATTAAATAAATTGAGAGTTGTTTAGAGACAAGTGTTTTGAGGACCCAATGAGTGTCAATGAGTACCTAATGTGTACTTCAATACCATTCACTCACAAGTCAGTAGTGAATAGATAGCAAATACCGTGGAAAACAGCATTGAATGGCATTGAATGACATGTTTTGTGACGTTCAGAGCAATTCTCAATAGGATTTCGCAAACTTTTTGATGAACAGAAAGTTGTGTCGAAACTCATGTCTCGTTGAAAGAGAAACAAAACTTTTGGTTCAAAGCATTCACGCATTAAATGCATTATTATTTGCAATTTGTGTCAATAAATCATATGATTGAGTGTAACGCGTGATGGCATTTTGCGGCAAACTTTGTTGGAGAAGAAGTTATTTAAATATTTTCAATTCACGCAAACTCTTGGTTCCAAAGAGTGTCATCTCCAGTCGAAACCTCTTCCAAGTTAACCATCGACGACATGACAGGAGACCAGATGTGACACACATTCACAAGAGTTGGTTGCATTTGAGTTACAGTGAGTTTCATTTGCATGTGTTGTACCACTCATTGTGTGTTTCACTATCTGTTAGACCGATTGGCACCAGAAGTGGTTCCCTTCCTCTTGTCAGACATCGGTGAAGGTATCGGTGAAGTGACTGTCAAGGAGTGGTACGTCAAGGTTGGCGATAATGTCCGTCAATTTGATAGCATATGCGAAGTGCAGAGCGATAAGGCGTCCGTCACTATCACCAGTCGATACGATGGTGTCATTCGGCACATCCATTACGAAATCGATGGCATCGCCAAAGTTGGCAAACCTTTGGTTGACATTGAGATCGTCTCCACTAATGGTTCCAATTGTTCCACTCTTTTATTTGGGTTTAAATATAGTTTTTAAGAGTTTATTAATTGATAAATAGAGGAACAAATGGACGCCGTTTTGGATGAAGAATCGGACAAATCGTCAAACATTTCGCTGTCGGCCGCAGACGACAATAAATCCTTTGAATCGACCGCCAAAGTGCTGACCACTCCTGCCGTCAGAAGTATGTATTCATTTGATTAGAGTCTCAGGACTTAACACTCAATTGTAGCCATCATTTACTTAATAACATTCTTGTATTCATTAATCATTTGACAGGACTTGCAAACGAACACAACATTAGACTCACAGACATATCGGGCACCGGAAGGGACGGAAGGATTCTCAAAGAGGATGTCTTGACTTACATCGAGAACAGCAGCAAAACAAGTGTTGTGTCCACAGATAAAAGTGTTGCCAAATCCGTTGACGCCGATTCAGACAAATCCAAAACTCAACCGAAACCGACATTTAAAGTTCAGGAAGAAGCGTCGACTGTGAGCGACAAAACGGAACCGATTAAAGGCATTAAGAAAGCGATGACTAAGACTATGACTCAATCCTTAAACATCCCGCACATGGGTTTGGGCGACGAAATAGATGTCTCACAATTGGTTGAATTGCGGGCAAAACTGAAGAATTTGTTCAAAGATAGGAATATAACGCTGTCTTATATGCCATTCTTCCTTAAGGCCGCGTCCATGGCTTTACTCGAGTACCCAATTCTCAACTCTTCAGTCGACGACAAGTGCGAAAACATCACATATAAGGCCTCCCATAATATCGGGGTAGCGATGGACACAAAACAAGGTCTTTTGGTGCCAAACATCAAGAATGTCCAGAATCTGACTATTCTAGAGATCGCCGAAGAGTTGAATCGTTTACAGGAAATCGGAGCCAAGAATCTCTTGAGTAGCGAAGACATGTCTAACGGAACGTTCACTCTCTCTAATATAGGATCCGTACGTTTGTCTGTCATTTGTTTCACCACTTTATTTGAAAATATAATTTATTTTCGATGCAACAGATCGGAGGCCTCTTTGGAATACCTGTGATATTACCTCCAGAAGTGGCGGTTTGTTCACAATTGTGGTCATTAATGTCAATAGTTTTTAGATATTTATTTTCAATGACAGATCGGAGCCCTGGGAGGCATTAAAGCGGTTCCCAAGTTTGGCAGCGATGACAAAACGATAGTAAAAGCGCACACATTGACAGTGGTCTGGAGGGCTGACCATCGGGTAATCGACGGCGCGACCATTTGTCGATTCTCTTCGCTTTGGAAACAATATTTAGAAACGCCTTCTTCCATGTTATTGCAATTGAAATGAATCATTGAAACGATTTGTTATTTTTGTTACAAATTTATAAACCAATTTTTAATACATTAAACGAGTTTATATTATACGGCAATAGCATATTAATAAGTAACACAATTAGCTGACTTTTATATTGAACTACCGGTTGAAACATCACAATAACTGCCAAAAACAAAAGGAAAACAAACTATTCATCATTTTTCTGTAAACGCATTATATGTGAATATATTTTGAGCGCCGGCCCTAACTTCATGTGAAAGCCGGTCAACACATCCGATCGTCTCAATAGCAGAAGAGACGTGCCATCGATTTCCTGCTCTTTGAACAGAACCGACTGTTCCGGAAAACCAATGTTTCGGATAAAATTCCCGACGTCTTCGGGCGACCACTTCTGTGGGTTTGGAATCACTTCTGGATAACTGTTGCCATAACTGATTGATATGTGAATGAAATTGCAATTATAAACGCATGTCATAAACAAAAATAATATATATTTATATACTTCTCTTTGGAATTGGAGGCAACGCTCGAGAGGGAAGAGGTCTCAGAGTTTCGTTTGTTTAGAATTCGTTGACTCTTCTTATCACTCATCAAATCATCACTTTCTTCGTTTGGTTCACACTTCAGACTTGTTTTGTTTGTCACTTCAACGCTATTCTTATTTGCGTTACATTCATGACATTCCCATTTGCCTACCGGTGCGCACAAAACAACAAATCATTGGGGGTTTGAAAACAATGAAATGAAAGGACAGACCGATTGGTTTGAGCAGAACAGAGGGATTGTGACAACTCATATGAAACCCTTTGTCACAGAGATCGCAGACCAACATATTTGCCTGAAATGAATGGACAGACGTTTTATAGATATTGGGTTATGCGGTAAGTACTGAATACTGACGGCATCTTTGGAATCGTGACAGATATCACAAGTCTTGCATTCCATGCACTGCCACGGACTCCGACTCGACCTCTCGGCCAACTCCACGCTGTAGTCCATACAACTCGGATGCGCTTCAAGTGGTTCTCAATTGAGTATCACATGAATTACAAGAAGCCATTCGAGGCATACCTTTAGCGCTACAGTCCTTACAAGTGAGCAGTTCTTCCTGTTCGCCACGAGTGTTGAATTTGGTCCTGAGTTGACACAAATCACACTTCGGCTCAAAGCTATTCCTCATGTATTGTGCGCCCAATTCTGAGGAGACAATAAAGTCGGGACCCAAACACTTCTTGAATTTCTGCCAAACATCTCTTCGTTATTAACATTCATTTCTCTAATCAATAATTCATGGAAACAGACCTTCCGTTTGCTGACCGGTCTTTCGCGAGCCATCACTGGCGCTCCCTTTTTACGCGACGCCGACACCGACACCGACACCGAACTAACGGTCATTCCGTTGGAAGCGGTCGAAGAATCTTCGGTTAGATCCGGATTATCTGTTTTGAAGCATTTAAAAGTCATTTCACGCAATGTAGAAACAAATGCATCAAATATAGCGAAGTAGTCATAAAAAACGTTTACTCAATGGAAGTGATGGCAAATCAGTGCTCGCGTTGTCTTCACTATTAGATCCAATGCTATCCGTATTGAAGGCATTGACCGAAGAAGTGCCGTTCCCTTTGAGCGCATCACCGCTTTTGTCAAACACAACCACATAGTTATCATTTGGTAACTGTTTGACTGACCCTAACATAGAGTGGCAAGTATTGGATCCGTTAGAGGCGACCGCAATCTTAAGCGCACTTATCATCATATGTTTGAATACCTGTTTGAATGACTCTCGTGAGGAGTTTATCGACGGCTGAATCGGTGGTATCAATGAAGTGGTTGTTGGCGCGCAAAGAGGCCGTGAGATCCACTCGGGAGACGCCGTGAGGTCTGGAGCGGCATAAGAGTCGCAACTCTCGGAGGAATCGTTTGATAGTTTGCGGACTAATGTTCCAACTCTTGGCACCCATTATATGGTTTGACATCTTTTGGTTAAACTTCTGTGGATTCCGATAACTCACGGACTCCTTGTACTTCACTTTCAGCACAGATCCCACGCCCACCGCCTCTTTGATGCCTTTCACGATGTCTTCCCTCTTGAGTCCGTACTTTCTCTCGACGAAGTGGCAGATCTTCGACTCGTCGGGTCGTGCTTTGCGGCCCTTCAGACAATCGATGGCAGTGATGATCATCCGTGTGGTCTCTACGCAAGTGTTGGGGACAGTCATGTCGGTGGTAGACATGGTTGTCGGTCTCCAATCACTTCTTAATGACAACTAAATGACTGAAACATCGATAAGAAATCGGTATTAGTTTTCAATCTGAATAGTCTTCAGATCTATAGGTAATGCAAAGTTAGCGCAGACGTCGAGCCCTCTACTCCTGAACCCCTGAACCCCTGAACCCCTCAATCCCTATAACATTGCATTCATTTCAATACAATTGAGTCAAACTTACATTTCTATCAAATCCTCTCCTTTTCCGTACAGTATTTGTGTTCAAATGCAATCACTTTTTAGACTAATTTATTGAATACCAGAAGCCGTTAGTGTTGTTGGGATTGAACTCAGAGTTTGCTTATTCCTCAGCAAGAATATAGAGAATAGTTCTCAGAATATATGTCTATATATACGGCAAACATCAGACAGAATCCAATCGCTGACAGTCTGTCACTATATATTCACTGCAATACCACTCATAAGCTCTAAACGGAGACATAGAATATAGAGAATAGTTCTCAGAATATATGTCTATATATACGGCAAACATCAGACAGAATCCAATCGCTGACAGTCTGTCACTATATATTCACTGCAATACCACTCATAAGCTCTAAACGGAGACACCGTTTCTGCCGACACTTCTCTCCACGAATCCAATGCTCTGACAATTAGTCGACGAGTTTTGAAATCAATGTTCATTTGAATGAAAGAATGGAATTCAATGACAGAAGATATGAGAAAAGGATGAACACTACGGGAGTGAAAAACAAATGGATTAAAGCGTTTCGGACTCTCAAACTTGTGACCAATCCTGGGGACAGGTATGACACGACTCTTACATACATTGTCTTTATTGCTGAACACTGAACACACTTTTCATACAATACTCTATCAACTCATATATTATTGAACACTATGTTCTGCAACAGCAAGTGCTCTCTTGTTCACTACAAGCCAATGGAAACTCGGTTTTATGTAGTTTTTCATTCATTTAATTATTGAGAGAATTATAGTCCGAAAAGATTTTCGTTTCATTTATTTTAATTTCAATTTCATAATCATTATGTTCAAAAGTCTTGTATAGCTATAATTAATAATCTTTTAGATGCAAACAAATTTTGCAAACTTTCCAACTTTTAGAAACTCAATGTTTGAACCATTTTTAAAGTCATTTATGCAAACATTAATAATGAAATAACGTTTGATTTATTATATTAGACCAGAATTTTAACCTTTAATGGAAGACAGGTTTCCAATGAATTACTGAATTAGTGTTTATTATATAAAAGTTAATTCTATAATCTTTTATAGTGAAGTCATTTGGTGTATATAACAGTTAGTCTCCCATTACGTGAAGATTAAGATTATTGAGCAAAAATAAAAAATCTATTATTAAATAATTTAATAAAAATCTTTTATAATATTAGAAACAAAAGAAAAGTGAATTTACTGTAAAGTCCTTCTATTGTATCCCAAAACTCTTATACTTGTATTCAGTACTGTATTATAGGTTTTGTAGAAAAAGCAATAAATAGACTCCAAATTAGCGCTATTTGTCTTTTCTAATACAATCCTCTCATAAATAATTAATATAGAGAATAACGACTCGATTGCTTTAAATTAATTTATCGTTTTCTTCATTATTTTCATATAAATAGTCACCAAATGATTCTTTTGATGAAATGTTCAACAATTGAGAACAGCTTTTGTTGCAATAAAAGTAACATTACTTTTAATGTCTGATCCAATGAGAAAAATATACTAAAATATAATCTTTTACCAACTAAACCTAAATATAAAATGTCACCAAAGCTTAAACAGTGAAGTATTTTCATGTCATGTTATGCTACATTCAATTCGTATGTATTCGAGAAACATATTTCAAACATGAAATTAGTTTTCAATCTCTAGTTGAGTCTCAAGTAGTCTTCAAAAGAGATTCTCTAATGAAAACATATTTACAAAAATATTTTTAATAATATATATTATCCTATAGATTGTTGTCTTACAATAACAATTTTAAAATAGAAACAATTTATTCAGAAAATCAAAGAATTATTTAAGAAACTTTCTTTTAATATTTATATTTAATGATAATTATGCTCATTTTATCTCTAAAAACATTTTTTCGTTATGACTTTGCATATAAATGAAACAACTTTCAATTAAGTAATTCATCAATTGATCAAATTATTGACATTATCTACGAATAGTAGTTTAGGTGTGACCTAATGTCCTAATGTATAGCTCAATATGAATAAGATTTAGTGTAAAACATATCGAAATGGCATTTGAAAACTCTATGCGACGACAAAAGGACACAAAGACATAAAGACATCTGCTTTTGTAAAGTGTTTTTCTTAATATACTGTATATATAGGTTGATAGATATAAATAATCTTATTTTCGATATAAAAAGCTCTTCCATTTCAATGTTTTGATGGTTTGAAAGCAAGTAATGATCGCTTCAACAAATATCTAANAAGCATTATATGAAATGCTTAATAAATTCAATTGTTTTTTTTTGTAAAAGCAGTAATACAAGTCTTCAAATATTTAATATATTTTAGAGTAATAAAATTTTTATAAAATAAAACCTAATTATAATATTTTGTATGACGATTTAAATATTTTATTTTAATAGTTATTAATCTATTTAAAGGATTTACTGAGATTTATATAAAATAAATTTCAAAAATTCAGTGTTTTATGTAATATGAGAGCATCAGTGCACTTTTCATATCTAGGAATAGGTCTCTAAAAGTTGTTTATAAGGAATTTCATTACATATATAAGAATGCAATTATGCAAATGGGAACGAATGACAAAAATTGGATTTTGGATAAATATATTATTTATATAACAAAACTTATAATATATTAGGCAAATGTTTAATTAAATATTCAAGAATTAGAAAAATATGCATTGTAATAGTCAAATGGAACTTATAATTATAAATTAATATGTATTATCATTTTTTACAAAAACATTTTTTGTGAAAATGCTAATTTGCTATAATAAATAATATTAGACAACTTACGAAATAATTAGTTACAATAATCGCCAGAATTAAAAATTATGTTTAAATTGTAATTTTTAAAAATAAGTTTTGAATTATTTACTCTTTTAAAGTATACTTGTTAGTAATAAAATAAAAAACTAAAATTAAGACTAATTATATAATTAATAAAAATTACCGGTATTTGTAAAAATCAAAATTCTGTTATTTAATATATTAGATTTCAATTACTGATAATTAAATAAGTGAAATACGATAGAATATTTGCTAATCAATTTTAATAGTGAAATCTTATCCAGCCTACGAATTTGTGATGCTAAAAATTTTCATTTCAAATATGTTATACAGATTCAGAACTCATAGTATGATTTAGACATGAATTCACAACATATTTCACATCATTTCAATAATTGACATCATTTTGTCGAAAGGTGTCATCTGAAGAATTCATATTTTCTTTCTTTTCTTTTAATCTGCTTTTAGAATACAATCTATTTTTTAAATATAACTTACATTTGATATATGAATACGTTTTTTTAAATCAACAAAAGTGTGCAAAGCTCTACAAATATTGTGTGTATTTTGTTCACAGCGTAAAATTGCCTGAAATTGCAAATAAGACTAATCTCCTCTATTCAAAGGTTTCATTTTTAAGATTCTTGTTTATAATCTAAAGAATATTATCAAACAAAGAAAAATTTTTTAATTAATAAAAAATGTCTGCAAAAAATAATTGAATTTTGAAATAGAAAAACTTAGATTCTTAACAAAATACAGGTATAAATATGATAAAGCATATACTATATAGAATATTCTTAGCAAAAACATTTTGAATAATTTAATTATTTAATATATATAGTATAGTAGTTTACTTGGATGTAAGGATTTATGTTGAGAAAATATTAAAAATATGTTGCCCTTATTTCGCTATGAAATATAAATTATTATCTGGTTATTCTCATAATTGGATAAATATGATAAATTGATTTTGAGTTATAATTAATGAAAATTTATTTATAATAAAGCAATTAGAGAGGAGTGGGAGCGAGAGCCACAAGTTGTCATTCATAAGCATTTGATTATATCCCAGAATGTCATGCGATACACACATGTAGTGTACAATTAGTGCAACGAAATGAGAAACAACAATAATTTATTCATTTCTTAGTCGGTAATTAGGAAAACCTATCATTTGTTTATCAATTAGTTAGTCATTGATTGATAAGATAACATATATTAGGGCACTGGTTGTCATCATAACATGCATTAGTGAACAGCAATTCTGTAGTAACCAACTGATCGATTCACTCGGGACTACAATCGATTCAATTTAGTTGGCATT